TATATATATATATTCAGCTAATTGTCAGCCTTGTATGCTTCTTGTAAAAAATGAGTGAATATGCATATAAACATCCTTTTAATTAACAGAGTAGAATAATCATGGCTGATAGTAAGACATGCAAACAAAAAACAAAACCAAACTGGACACAAGAACAGCTGTTACTTCTTGCCGAATTGGTTAATGAAAACAAGGATATAATCAAAGGAAAATTTGAAGTTGGGATAACCTCCAAAACCAAAGGTGATACCTTTTTAAAAGCACATTATTGTCAAATGTTTCTAAAATGTTTACGTTCCGAGGCAGATTGCCAGCAACAGCCATTTTAGGACCGTTTGTGGTTTGGTCTTAGTGACTTAGGAGTCCTCTTCACTACTCCTAACGTTTCACAGATTTAGGAGCTAGTTTTAGTGCTAAAACGCTTTGTGAAATACTCTTAGAGCAAAAATTTAGGAGTCCTAAATTTAGGACTGACACGTCCATTATTTTTTAAGATTTTCTCCTAAATTGGCGAGTTTTGAGCTACTTTTAGCCTTAAGATGTTTTGTGAATACGGGCCCTGAAAGAATATCTACCAAACTTAATGAGCATGGACTCATTGTTTGAGTTTGCACTGCAGGCATACCTTCTTTATTCATGCCAACAGCTAGACATTTCTGAAAGCGGCAGTAAGGGCATCGTTTCCTCTGGGCTGGGTCCATGGGGCAGCACTGTGCGTCTGCACACGAATAGCGCTTGTTGTTCTGTACAGAGCGCTTAAAAAAGCCCTGGTGAGAATATTTGTCTTTAGTGCTTAAGAATGACCAGGGTGTGGATTTTATTTTTTAAATGAAAGCTACTAATGTGTTCTTGTTACTGTCTGCCTGGTGGTACACTTACCTTACAGCTCTCACAGGTGAGTAGACCATAGTGATATCCTGACACCCTGTCACCACACACAGGACAGCCCACTTCTTGAGTTGCCCTACCGTCTGGGTCTGGCTTTAACTCCTGAGCTATGGGATATCAAATTCATTGTAAAGTGTTAATGGTCCTTTTGTCAACTTTCTTTCTTAAAATAACTCTTACTTGTCACCTTCAGAAAACCGCAAATAAAAATGAAGAAGCCTACTGTAAGATGATTGTCTAGGAGAGGGGTGTATGGTTGAACAATTTTATGACAAGTCTCTCTGATAAATCGTCAGGGCAGTCTATTATATCTCAAATTGGCTTAGTCTCGTATCACTCGACTGATTAAACACTGAGATATAGGGCTTGCATAATCCTTATAGTTTGATATTTTCAGCAGACAAAAGATAAATAAACTGACTAAATTTTTTATTTTTTTAGATTTGCTGAAGCAATTGTCTATTGAATGAAATCATAACAAATCTTTCCTTAAATGATCAGGTCTTCAGTATGTGTACTAAACATGACTGAACTGTTCAGCACAGTAAAATCATATAACAAGATTTTCAGTATACCTCAACAATCTGATTAATCCTTATGGAAAATTGAATTAATGACTAAAAGTTTACTATCGCCAAATGTATTACATTAGCAATTAATGCTATTGCTAAAGTCATTAAAGTGTCTCAGATCTGAAGCTCTACTTACATGTCGACGGCCCCTCTTGTGACGCAAGGTCCTGTATGTACTCGGCAGAGTGGAGGGCCGTGGGCTGAGGGTGATTCAGGGGGTAGTTTGAGATGTTCATTGTCCATAGGAGAGGGGTGTCATGGGTCACCGTAAGCTGTCATTCATAACTGTACAGACCTCCAGGACTCAGAGCAGGACAGGGAGGAAAACAGACGCAGGCTGTCTCACAGATGGTGCCGTGTAAAGGCCCTCAGTCAGACTTTGCTCCACGCTGAGGGTAATAAACCTGAGTCTGTCACACCTTCCCAACAAGCAAGACCTCATTCATGCAAGGTGCAAGAGCATTGCAGGAAGGTTGGCACTCACCATAAGAAAATAAACACAAAAAGATCTGATGCTGAAAAACTCATGGGCATCCATTCATGTATCTACCAAATGAGACTTTTATAATTAGTGTTGATCAGACCAACCCAACTACAACTACAACTACCTGTGTGATTCCCCAGTGTTCGGTAAACTCCCAAGAAGCAGAACATAAGTTTTCATTACAGTCCTCCCTATTTCTATTCTTCCATGTTTCTATACATTTAAATCCGATTACTCTATTGCTCAAATGTGTGCATCAACACATAATATACTGTGCTTTGCTAACTAATAGCTTTTTATCAATAAGTGAGGTTCCAGCACCTTTGGAATCAATTACAAAACAAGGAGTCTAGTTATGATGAAGGCAGCAGGTAAGTACAGTGATGTGGGGTCTGACGTCAAAGGCCATAAAAGTTCAAGGGTGATAGATTAACCTGAGTAATGAAAAAGACACATTGTGTCAAATTAAATGCGGTATTGTTTCGACTCTTAATGAAACCAAAATGTGTGCAATAGCAAAGGTCGTTCTTTTTAAATCAAATAGATGGTTGATGACGATTTTTTACTTATTTCATTAGCTGTCTAGCAATTTCACTGTCTATTTTGAAAAATCTATTATATGTGAAATGTGGAATCATTCTTCTTACATTGTTGAGCAAAAATGACATTCAAAAAGACATTGAAAATATGGAAAAACTTTGTTCACTAAGTATCCAAACAAGCTGCTTGGTCATCATTCTTTTTTTTTTTTCTCAGTCTGTAAAATTGTGAAGTGTAGATACCAAGCCTGAAAGGAAGATCCCAAATCCCACCCACAACTCATGTTTTCTTGACATGGCACTATAGGTGGCACTATAATGCACAATTTTACTCTGTTGATAGCATTTAAAAGCTAAGGCATATGGGTTAGGTCGTTCATATAGAATCATTTAACTGTTTTTTTCTTCTTCTGAATCTTTAAGATCTTTTTTTGATCAATTCAGCACTTTTTTTAATATATGAGAAAATAAGCATTAATAACCTAACTATAGCTGTCTCTGCATATTAATGTGAATAAGAGAAAGTTAGCAATGTTTTATTATTTGATACATCAGATTTCTATGGCCCATATGGAATGATACAGTGAGAAAATGGAGCTCACAGGAGGAAAAAACAAAACAAACAAAAAAACGATTTTATTCAGAGGCCCAAACTGATAAAAAAAAAAAAAAGCAATTTGGTGCAGATGTTTTTATGTATATGGCCAAAGAGTAAGAGGAAATAGCTTGTAATGCAAACTAACTGATATAAATTTCAGTTGTCACTCTATATGTCCTAATAATGTCTACATAATAAAAATATATTTCAACATTTATATAGTTTTCACACACACACACACACACACACACACACACACACACAAGATTATTACAATGATGTTTTTATTTTATTTTCATCACAGCTGCTTATAACAAATGCTTATACACCAAATACCATACCTTGGAGACTTTTTTTTTTTTCGACAAATTCCCCATTTATTTTTTTTATGTTGTCTACTTAACCAAACCCAACCCTTTTACAGTATATGTGCTTATGGTATAATAGCTTACAGTGAAATGTATATATCCTATACTCATTAGAAAAAAAGAAGTTCTAAGGCAATTTAGCCTGCTATGACTATAGCACAGGAATAATGCAGTTCTGTTCTCTGTGGCTCTGAAAAAGAAATTACAAATAAATGTCTAGTTAGACATTATCCTATTAATTATAATAAGAATAAATTATCTTGACAATTTTAATTTTCTTGACAATTTTGAATTCACAAGATTTAAATGAATCATTTACCTTTAAAAGACACCTCAGCGAAATTATTCAGTCTTAGGACACACAGGCTCACCCTTAACAATATACCATGCCTCATTGTGCCTGTTCATAATCTTCATTGGGCTGAAACACACACACAAGAAAAAACATAAGAATTACAGAAATTAGAGAATGTTATTGGCAGAAAGGAGGTATCATCTAAAAGCTAAGTGCACCTGTTATAGCCGACATTATAGTAGTACTCTGTCTCATATGTAGCCTGTACATTGTCCAGCGATGTCTTCAGACTCTGAGCCTGCGATCTGGCCACAACTGACATCATATAACCCCCGTAGCTTTTGACATATACTTTCATATCCGGAGTGTCTGTAAAGTATACCTGCAAACAAATTGAATTAACAAGGGTAAAAAACCCTCTCTCAATCCAATAGAAAGCACAGAGAATATCAATGAGACTCACAGATGGATCGGTAGGTTTGGGTGGATTGGCCTGGTAGTTGGAGGGCAGGAGGAAGCTGAGAGCATAGACTGATGACTGCCACATGCTCGCGCTATCATTGACTTTAATGATCACTGGAGCAGTCATGTCAATCTTAGCACCTAGAAAATAAGGGTTATAATTTGATTATAAGGATAAATCTCACAAAACTTAATGTGATATTTGTATGGTACTACTAGTACCATTTGTTGTACTTTAAATTATATGCATTAATAATAAAAAAAATATAGTGTTTTTAAAAAACTACACATTTGTTTTTCACACATGTTGTTCCGGTTTCCGTTTGCTGTGCTGCTAAGTGGTTTGCAATTGTAGCTCCATGTAGCTTTGTTTTTCTGTTGTAATCTCTATCTTTCTATCACTCTCTGATGTTTAAACTGCTAAAATATTACTTAATTCTCACCATATTTCTGAACTAATTTGTTCAATTTTAAACTAAACCACTAGTGATGTGACATGTGACATGTGGCCAAGTATGGTGACCCATACTCGGAATTAGTGCATTTACCCATCCAAAGTGCACACACACACTGTGAACACACACCCGGAGCAGTGGGCAGCCATTTATGCTGCGGCGCCCGGGGAGCAGTTGGGGGTTCGGTGCCTTGCTCAAGGGCACCTCAGTCGTGGTATTGAAGGTGGGAGAGAGCGCTGTACATTCACTCCCCCACCTACAATCCCTGCCGGTACGAGACTCGAACCCACAACTTTTGGGTTATGAGTCCGACTCTCTCGCGGCATTTGTGGAATTGTTGGCACATCAATCACAAGTGCAGTACTAGGGCCATTAATTTTCACGCTTTACATGTTACCCTTGGGAGATATCATCAGGAAACATACTTCCACTGTTATGCTGATGACACTCAGCACTATATTTCTTTGCATCCTGATGAAACATACCAATTCGCAAAACAAACATTGTTGATATTAAAAACTGGATGACGAGGTAACTTGCTCTGGATGGGAGTCTCGGACGGCCCCTCCAGGTGACTGTATTATCTGCAATCGCTCTCTCCACCTGGGGGACCTCCTTATATCCCTTTGCTGGATCGCCGTCAAGGGTGGTGAGAATGGAGGAAGCGGTGTATCGTGTTATGGCAGAAAAGTGCCTTCCATGATTTCATCAGCTCCTCATGCACTTCTGGAAAGAAAGGAACTGGGGCGGAGCATGGCTGAGTGCCGCACTTGGTCTTCAAGAACCAATCATCCAATCGAGAGCGCTCAGGACAGGGTGGAGGAGTCCACTCAAGCCTGATGCTCTGTACTGCCTGGGTAAACACGGCAGTCCTGCCCTCCGATGCTGTGATAGACAACTCATCCTCATCGCGAGCCCTGAATGAGAGATCAAACCCGCACTGTGAGGCGGGTTGTCAAACTCACCCAGAAACTCTACTGGAGAACACATGCGATTGGAGAAACGGGAGGTTCGCGGGAATTCATCTGGTGACACTGCTCTCGCAACCTCTCCTTGCTCTCCTTCAGTGCACATCATTGAAGCCTCGTACCCGGAAGTAGAAGGGCCAGGACGGGAAGCAGCTAAGGTGACTCGAGGTCTTTTGAAAAAGAACGTGAGCCGTGAATGCAACGTGCCGATAGCCATGTCCACACAAGATGGACAAAACCATCCACAAAAGCTGCTTCAGCATGGGCGCGGCCCAAACACTGAGCACAGCAATCGTACCTGTCAGAGGGTGAGATGCACAAACCGCAACCAGAAGGACACGGATAGAAAGGAATGTTGTAAACACACACAAATCCACCCGTGAAGCTCTTTTAGAGAAATTGCTCTTTTAAGCAATTTCTCAAAAAAATTGAAAAAGAGCTCCACCCGTGAAGCTCTTTTAGAGAAATTGCTCTTTTGCTTAAACGTTTAATTTGCTCTCAAATATCGCTGTTGAAGCACCCAGGGGTACTTTCACTACACTTATCTGTGAACGGGCAAGGGAGAAACCACTGCTTGTGCCATAGATTCAATGACGAGGAGATTGAGAGGTGAATGAAGTGCTGCATCTCCTAAAGAGATGCTGCAATGGCTCCAGAGAACAGAATGAGTGAGCAAATGCTACGCTGGCCTATTTATACCCAGATATCCGGGGCGTGGCCAGCTATGAAAATTTTGCTTGCCAATTTCATTGGCCTTTTCTCAATGATGTCCGAGGTGTCTGGGCTCCCAAGTGTGACCACTAGTGTTGGACTTCGACACAACATCGAAGTGACCGACTGGAAGGAACGCTAATTATTGTGCTTTACTAGCTGAGACAATGATCAGTACCTGTGCAGCCGAAGAAGCAAAAAGGGTCTGAAGCCAGAAGAAAGAAAGACAAACCAAAAATGAGCACATACAATAGAAAATCCCGAGTAGTGACGTTAAATTTCTTTCTTTTTTTTGTTGGACGGGAAAGGGAATTATTGTGTAGACCACTTTTTAAACTCATTAGTACAAGTGAAATTTACATAAAACTCAGAGACCATCATTGTTGTTGAAAGATCAGAGATGCTAACGCAAGTTAAAAGCTACTGAATGGATAATCTTCAGGTGAACACAAACAAAAAAACCCATCTCTGTGAGTACAAATAATGCAAGTGTATGGGTCCGCCAAGTTGACGACGCTTCCAAAAGGCAATACAACCCCAGTTCATGAATGTCTTTTGAAGCTAAATGATTGGCCTAGGCGTGCGTAAGAAAAATACTAATACAAATATTAGAAGTTTTACGTATTTGTAAGTTTAAAAAAAATATATACCAGTTGTTTCACTTCAGGAAACATAATTTCATCAACTAGGGTCATATGGATTCCCATTGTGCTCACTTTGTGTTTTTGAAGCATCAGTTTATTAGGAGGTCCTGTACACTGCATTATCCACCTTATTTTTAATGTAAGAGCGGCTGTGACCATTTTTAAACTTGAATGTGCAAGGCTTCCGGTGTCATTCGCTTCAGGTTATTTTACCTGTAAAAAACAGTGCTTGATATGGCAAACTGGCACTTATTGTTATGTTATTTTAATTCATTATCACAATAATGAACACACTAGTGAATATAGCTTTATCATTTGCTGCACTTTGTTATTTTTCTGTATTTTTTGTTGTTGTTGTTTCTATTTTCCCATAGTAGCAAACTAACTGATATAAATTTCAATTTATGCTTGATGAGCATAAGAGACTTCTTTCAAAAACATTAGAAATAGTAATGTGTCCAAACTTTTGACCGGTACTGTATGTACATATTAATCAAACTTTATCTAAGGTAATTTCTTTTTGTTTGTTGAGAATGTTATTATTATTATTATGCAGTAATTTGTTCAGTAATTTATTTAGTTCCTGAATAGGCTACCACTTCAGTAAATGAAATGAACATCAGTGCTTTTATAATTTTTTCCCTAGCTGTGTACGGGCAGGATTTTCCCCTCCCATTTAATCAATATTGACTACAGATATTGTCATATTATTAATAATAATACTATGATATTATGTATTGCATTGTTACCCTAAATATGCACTATATACACAAATCACAAAAGCGGAAGTGAAAGAGATTATCACTACTAGGCAGGAAAGAAGTTGAAACTGAAATTAAGTGTTTTGTTAGAGCAATAATCATCAGCAGAATTTACAAGATAAACACATCTGAGGTTATTTTTTTGAAACATTAAAAAATGTTCTAGTGTGCTTACTTTTTGACTTGGAATATAAACTTCTGTGCTTTTACTTTGTAGCTATTTTACTAGTCATCTCCCGACGCGATGTCATTCATTGTACGCGCAAATTCAAAGCGGCGCGTCAACGGCGCTCGCGCTCTTTTAAACTCGTAATAAAGCGGTTAATAATATGTCCTCATTTCTATATATCCAGAAATGACACTGATTGACAGAACAAGTTTATATTTAGAATGCATTGCAATCACTCCAAAATAGATGACGCAATGCTCACCTGCATTAGGAGCTGTACTTTGCGTGCCTATTGCTTCGCAGCACCTGAAGGATATGCTCGTTACGGCAAACATTCAGAAGGCGGGACCTGCTTTGAAACGGCAACATTAATTGGTTTAATTACAGGTGAGTGATAATTCAACTATATGCAGTGAACAATGAGGCTAGTATTTTGCTGCCTGTCTTGACTGGTGGACTAGCGTATAGGGGATGTTAGGGTTATGGAGGCCCGCCTCAAAGCCCGAGGCCCTAGGCCAGGGGTGCCCAAACTCGGTCCTGGAGGGCCGGTGTCCTGAAGAGTTTAGCTCCAACCCCAATGAAACACACCTGAACCAGCTAATCAAGCTCTTATAGGCATACTAGAAACTTGAAGGCAGGTGTGTTGAGGCAAGTTGGAGCTAAACTCTGCAGGACACCGGCCCTCCAGGACTGAGTTTGGGCACCCCTGCCCTAGGCAATTTGGTTCCCTCACAATCAGGGCCGCTGCTGGCCAAATGGGTGCCCTAAGCAGAATAGCACTGTTGTGCCCCCTCCTTCAAAAACAAAAACAAAAAAACCCTACTATAAAGGGTCAAAATAGAACTCTAATAAAATATAAGTGTAAATAAATAGTTGTTTAATTAAATTAGATTTAAAAAAATAAATAAATTACAATTGTAGCTCTAGACAGTTACCTATGGCTATAATTTTATTAATACCGTTGTCTGATTGATTTTATAGTCTCAAGCATTCAGAAATCACACAAAATAAAATTAAGCAGTTTTACTACGATAAAACCATGGTTAATTTTGGTAAGGATAGTGATGTCCACATGTTTTTGTTGAAGAAATTAAGTGGATATTTGAATTAAATGTTTGGTCAATATTAAACAAGGATTTGATCGTCCTGTAAGTGTAACAACAGTAATTATCAGGCCTTTGGTGCCCTTTGCAGGCATTTGTAATAATGCTAATTGTTTATTTTGTATTACATTATGTATTTAGCAGTGTTATTCAATGAAACCATGATTATTATTAATTAACCAATCATTATTGCCTCATTGTTTTTATATAATACATTTTAAGTCATGAAAACTAGAATATTAAGTCAGATGCGTTGTTGGTGGTGGTGAAATTATTACCGACATTAAAACACGTTACTAACGTCAACAGTCAAAAAAGTTTCACAGGATTATGAACATAGTTACCTGAAAGCAGGGCCGCATTAACCATTGGGCTAGGCGGGGCTGAAGCCCCGGGGCCCGGCCAAGGAGGGGGCCCGTGATTGGCTGTGGAGTATTGACTGGTCATGGTAGTGCCGATTGCCAAAGCCCCGCCCCTCACATATTAGCGCTATTATTTAGTGGAGCTTTTCCATATATTCCATGCATTGCCTTTAGAGATTAAAACGTAACGTTTGAATTTGGTTTACCAATCAAATGCATTTATTCGATATTTTTACTTTTGAACGACCCGTGCACCACGTATCAATCAGGTGATCGCTGCAATGTCCCGTTCAAACTAGGCTGCTTATGTTGAAGTGTTTGGGATGTGGGTTTTAATGATGAGACCTTTTTTGTATTCAGGCTCTCAAAAAGTATATAAAAATTTGGATATAGATTTATCGGTTATCGGCTTTCAAAAATAAAGAATTATCGGTTATCGGTATCGGCCAAAATTTTCATATCGGTGCATCCCTAGTGAAGACTATTCAGTTTATTTGTACAATTATTGTATACAATATCATTTCTTATTCAGTGCTTTAAGTGTTTCAAGTAGGTCTATTTTTTTGTAATTTGTAATTTTGTCTGTTTAGTTGTCTTAAATTTTCCCTGATATAGTCTAGTTGTCCATTTAGTTATGATGATCATTTGTATTCAGCCGCAAACATGAGGTGAGAGCGGGCGCGGGCGCAGATGCGGGAATGGAAAAATCACGTGTGCTTATACTGCCTTATACTGTGTTCATCATAAAATGCATTTTTTTTATAATTATAAATATATCTTAATTATAAATATATCTATATATACAATCTTAAGAAAAAAGATAAGACCATTCTTAAGAAGAATTTTTGGGAATTCAAAATATTCTTTTTTTTTTCTTAAGTTAAAAAATAAGAAGAAAGTGGCAGTTAAGAAGACTTTTTTTTTTCTTTAGCATGTTTCGTGAGTCCGGCCCCAGGTTGATGTGTTTGAGCTTGTTATTTTATCTATTCAGTTTCTTTATGTACATCTTGAATCTCACCTCATAATCTTTTCCTGCACAAACCAAGTCGAACAGAAAACATTCCTTTGTCTCTGTGCAGTAACTGGATTCACTGGAGTCCCTGAGAGATGCAAACACAATACATTAAACATGACACAACAATGGACATATATAGATTATAGTCTTTGTTGTGCGGATATTTTACTGCTGCAAGGGAAGCAAAAATGATTCTCACCCAACTCTTCCATCAACAGTCACTGCAAAGAGCAGCACAATCACTCCTGTCAGGCAAATCCTTTAAAACATTTAAAACAAAAAAGAAAGAATGAGGTTACCTTTAGGGAACTCCAGCAGCAACTTGAAGTAATTTTTATGGTGCTACTGAAGTTTATACAGCACTACAAAAGTAAAAGTTTCAGAGCTTACATGTTGTAGAATGTTGTAGCTTGAGACTGTGCAGAGAGGAAGAATGCACATGTGTGCCTGCAAGCTGTTATTTATACATGCAATGTTATGAAATCTGTTCCCTCCTACAAGACGCCCCAACCCTGTAGTCATGTAAGCATGTTAAGTAAGAGACAGTATCTCATCCACTAGGGACAGTATTAGATTTTTTTTTTTAAACGGTCGTGTTTGAGAGTTCTTTTGAATTGATTATTTGATTGTCATATGTATAGCACATTTAATGGCAGCTCAGCATTTTTATGCAGTGGGTCAGGGGTTGTTTAAGGGTGTGGGGGGGGGGGGGGGGGCTCTCATAAGGTGTAACATAATAACTTTGGGATTTTATTGTAAAGCCAAACTGTATCTTTATGTCAGACATTAGATCAATATGGGCAGGCTGTCAGTGACATTGCATTTATGTAAAATAAGCAAACATAACCTTTGATCACAGGCTGACCACAGCTTAACAGTCGTCCAGATGTTTTAAGTAGGCTAAATGTCAAAATTGCTTAGAAGAGGAATATTTTTACAGGTGACCAACTGCAACTTTGATAAATGGACTGAAGTTGTTGGCCCATATAAAGAGTTCAATAAATGCAAATATTTAGCCATTTTGGTTTTCTCTTCATGGACATCCAATTTATCATGATAGTATTTTTTAAAATAAAGAGTTATTTATGGACGCATAGTTTGAAATGTAAAATTCGACCAAGTGATTATAGTGTACCCAAAAATGTAGAGTCTTGAACTTTAGTTCTGTGTTGGGAGTGTCAAATTTCAGCCATATCATTTTACTTTTACAAACTATAACTACTTTGTTCTTTGGGTTAAGCAAAAACCTAGAATTGTGTGTTTTCCTTTATTGGTCATGTATAGATCTCTTAGTTGTTCATGTTTCATTCAGGCTATATACAAAGGTTTAGTCGTTAAAGTATGATTCTTTGTCTTCTGTTCAATTTTGGTGCTATCTGGTATCTTTTGTTTAGGGTTTTGTAATGGTTGTACAAGTGTTGGGTGTAGCTGGGTGTCTTGTTTCATGCATTGTACAGTTCATCATACATCAAAAAGTTCTCTCGACATCTGATATGATTATTTGTCAATGTAATTATGCAAAGACAATATTAAGTAAAATTCTGATATAATTGCAAAGACAAATTAATCTGCGCTCAAATCCACGTTTATTCCAGATCATTTTTATTTTGACACATTAATAGTAGGTTAAACACATTGTTTGTCTTTGGGCATAATTTCCTCTGCACATGTCCCTGAAGTTTTCATTTGGGAAATATTAGAGTTCGCCATGCGTTTGCCATATGTGTGTATGACAGCTTGTTTTGTAAGGCTGACATAACAGCAAGTCTGTTTTATTCATTAGGAGTGGTCTGCATTTTTGTCTTAAGTGCTTGTCTATGTTGTGTGTGTGAAGTATTATCTCAGACAAAAAGGAGGTTTATATAGAAATGTAAATCTAGGAAAAAAACAGCTAGGACATTTACAATCCTTTGTTAATGTTAATAAAATGTTAATTTTAATATTTTAGATCACAGTGCATTAAGTAATGTTAACAGATAGAACTTCTGAATTTAAACCTGTATAAATGCTGAGATTAAACGTAATTAAGATCAATATTTGCTTTAGAAGTATTGTTCATTGTTAATTCATAGTAAGTAATGTAGTGAACTATTGTCATCAAATGAACCCTTATTGTAAAGTGTTAAAGATTATTATTTGTGTGTGGCTTATGAATCTATTGATAAGACCATAACAATGACAAAAAATGATCATTATGTGATAATGTGAGTGGGAAATATAATTTAAATATGCAAATAAATGTACTAACCAACAATATACCATAATTCAGAGAAGGAAAGGAATTACCAAGCGTAGAGAATAAGTGACATTAAAAACAAAATCTGGACTTGTCTGTTCACATCAGCTCTGTAATAAACCTTATATCACAGTGCTGCTGGATGCTTGGTTGACAGTCATTCCAACTATTAAAGCTGCAGTCCGTAACTCTTTTTGGTAAAAAATGATCCGAAATCAATATTTGAGCAAGTACATAACCAGTCAGTGTTCAAAAGTATCGCCTTACTTTGGCCCGATTCACAACAGTTAGCTTATAATAATGTTTTCTAATTTGAGTGGTACGGGTAGGTTTTCGCGGGAAATTCGAGCATGGCACTGCGTCATTACGTCACATCTGTAAACATAAAGATTGAGTCCCGGCTACTAGGCTATCGCATGTGAGGATCCTGCAGGTGGCCAATCGTTTATAGCCTTTTCTCACAGCAGCTGGAATAATTAAATGTATCATTTTGATGGCGGATTGTAATCCAGAAAGGTTTATGTGTTTATGAAACATATGTGAATGAAATTAATTTATATTGCAGTTTTAAATGTGCTTCTGATTACAGATAGCCTGGGATTACACATGATTTGTATTTTAAAGACAACCAGTTCGAAGGGAGCATAATTTGCTTTTTGGGTTAAAAGAATTTCTTAATATGAAATTCAAATGGTATGACAATTAGAGAGTAGACTGTACAGAATTTGAAATCTACACGCTAATACACACTACTCATAGTCATGCAATGCTGATGTTGTTAACATTAATAATTTGAGAATGACGTTTAACAATAATAATAATTTGCACGGTTTGATGTGATATGAGCTAACCAATCTTTAGATTAAATCACCATTGAGCACGATTTATTGTAATGTCTTATTTGAGTCATATATTCCAAGACGTAGGCTAGAATCTGTGATTGCAAAGTACAGTAAATATCCACACTGCCTGGTGCGGTGACTGATAGCCACACATACTCCTCAAAACATCAGATTCATCCGCGCTGGAGCCGTGCCGACACACAACCCACGCAAGGAAGATAATGCCGCAAACAGTTGCAATTGCAGGTTTTCAAACAGAGATGGCGACAAAGAGGCAAAACTTGCGAACTGCAGTTTTAAGTATTTCCAGGTTTGTTGACATTATAGTTTCATATCACTTCAGTAAATCTTTTGTATGGCTGAGAACCACAAATGCTCACTCTCTCATACACACACACCACAGCATTACCACCTCAGGGTGTGCACTAATTGATCCATAATTCAATGGACAATCATTCCTTATCTGAATTCTGTGTTTGGTGTGTGTTGCACTGAGTTCATACAGCCTGCAGTGCTTTACATATTTAATTCAGGCTGCATACGCCTCAATACATTTGTTACTTTGAGTGAATTATTTGAAATTACATCAAAAATTATATCATGTTTCATTCAAAGCAACACCTGAAGTGATGTCAGTCGTTTAACTGATTTTTGCTGCCGCCTCAGGTGCTGCTGTCAGAATCTTCATCAGACTCTTCTTCAATGTCATCTAGAATGAGCTCATTGATGCTTTCTATCAGACTACCCTGACTCAGACAGGTGTTGACAGTGGATCCGCTGCTGATGTGAGCGGGGCTGGGGTAAACCACACGTGGCTTCCTGTTCTTCTGTCTGCTATGTGGGTGAACGCATTCGGTACCAGGTACATGGGGCTCTAGGTAAGACAAACATGCAGATGTTTATATTCATGCAGTTCTGCTTTAAAAATGTTAAATCGACATGAAATAGCATTCACAGCCCATTTTTACTTCTGTACTGAGACACACAGTGGGGTCCAGAAATCTGAGAACATCTGTGTTTGCAGAATTGCAAAATATGGAATTCAAGATTTGGATTACTTGTGGATTATTGTGATGTTTTTATCAGCTGTTTGGACGCTAAACTCTGACGGCACCCATTCACTGCAGAGGATCCATTGGACAGCAAGTGATGTAATGCTAAATTTCTCCAAATCTGTTCCGATGCAGAAACAAACTCGTATACATCCTGGATGGCCTGAGGGTGAGTAAGTTTTCCACAAATTTTCATTTTTGGGTAAACTATTCCTCTAATATAATTTGTAATGAAATTATGGTTTTAAATGAGAAAATTTCAAAACAGAAGCATTTACACTAGTGGTCTCAGACTTTTACACCCCACTGTATTTCCCAATGATGCTGGATATTTACTGGGAAAAAATGAATGGGACTTGATTATATCCATCAGAATGGTGATCCATACCAGAATGGGACCTGAATGCAGAACCCTCCTAAAGCTCATTTTCAAGTCTATTTGCTATTATTTCTGTAAAATTTAGAATGTAAAATGTAAACTACCATTAAGTTACTGTGCTAACACAGTGCCTAAATTATTATTTGGCTATTATTTACCAATAACTTGCACAGTTTAGGTGACATCAGTCAAAAATAAAGTCAAAGTCCTCTTAGAAGCGCAGCTCATTTAAAGCAGAGCAAATGTAGATTTCATGCTGTTGAAAATGAAAAAAAAAAAACGTTAAAACTGTATTAACGAATTGTAGTCTCACTACACTTTGCAGGCCATTAGAGGATCTAGACATCACATCTTGATCTTATGGCTCAATACAAAGAATACAGTGGTTTGCAGCGTTGCAGTAAGTTAATATATTTTAACATTACCTTTATTGATTGATTTTGGTGGTCTGAAGACTGTATATAATTAAAGCCTACTGTGACCCCTTGAGATTGAGCAAGACCTCTAGTGGTCATTGTGTCAAAAAGCATCAAATTACCCATTCGATTATAACAGTCTTCAGCAAGACAGCTGTGCTGATTTCTTCTTCTAGGCCCAGGCATCATGCTTCTCTTCTTGGGTGGTATAATCTTTGTGGGGAAAATGGCTGAGCGACAGCCGTAACAAGGGGAACGTCCATCCATTCGACCAAAACCCCTAACAGAAACACAAAATGTTAATACAAAACTACTCGTCATGCAGAAGAAAAAAACAAAACAATGCCATGACTGTCATTTAAAACTGAAGAACAGCAATATACAGTACAGCATACAAAAAAAGTTAATGTCTTACTTGAAGGTCCGTAAGCAGTTTGGACAGTTAAACTCCGCTATACCCCACATTTTGTTGGCTGGCACAGGGTCATACTTCTTTTTGCATCGGTGACAACGTGACACCTATAACAAGCCATGTGCA